CAACTCTCACCACTGTGACGCTCACGTTCACACACGAGGCCGCTGTTGTGTTGTATTCCAAGATGTGCTCTATCTCACTCGAGAGTTGAACTTTCGACCCTCGGCGTTTAAAAACCTACTCGCTTCTACAGTTGTTCTAGTTGATTCCTCCAGCCTTATGGTCACGTGACCCAACCCGCAGGAGTAGCTAAAGGAGCCGTCGAAGAAAGGAACGCGACGGAGAACCATTGGGGGAGAAAAAGAAAAAAAACAAAAAAACGCGACGCCGTGCCGCCTTTCTTGCTTTTTGTTTCCGCCGCGTCAAGCGTAGAGGGAAAGAGTAAGCAAAAGAGAACGTGCATTGCAAAGAAGCCAACTGTCAAGGGGAGTGTAGCGGAGAAGCGCACTACCAGTTCAGCCTGCTCATGCGGACGCTCTTGAAGGGAGAGAGGGAAGCGCTGCGGCTTTCCATCTAGGTGGTGTTGGAAGTGCACCAACACCTCCTAGAAGGCAAGGCCGTAGCGCTCTATTCGTGACGTCGCGACGGAAGGCCATCGGGGGCGCGCGGCGAAGCGAAGGCAACGCGCGTGGATCGATCGTTGTAACGTGCTTTTAGTCACATAAGCGTGTCTTATTAGCTAAATTGAAAGCTGCACATAGCAACGGGTCTCGAAAACATTTCATTACACGGGCAAAATATTACACCGCTAAGTGATCGGTATGAAATGGTACGAGGAAGGCGTATAAGAGAAAACATTGATTCACGCAAATATTGCTGCAGGAATGCATATTTTACACAGAAATACTTCGACAAAAGAAAAAAACGACAACGACGAGCGCTTGCACAGTGGGACATTCGCACCGCTCCGCTCATTTTGATCCTTTTATAGCAATTTACTGGGCCTCCGGCCTCCAGCCTGGGGCCTGGACGACTACATGGACTCCCCAAGGCCTCCCGATTCACCCGTCATCACACCGCCGCCCGAGGACATGGACTTCCCGGCTCTCGAAGTCAATGAGGACAGCCCGGCAGAGCTCTACCTAGCGGGGAATACGGGCTTTGCCTTCCCGCCGCCCCTACTCCTCCTGTCACACTCCAACCCGTTTGCCCCACTGGCGACTCTTGAGAATGCTCAACAATCCGAAGGCAAGTCAGACGACCTTCTCACTGCGTCCTGCATTGTTTCTACTGCACCCGAGGGGCAAAAACGGGCGCGTAGCACAGTTCAGGCCTCTACAGCCTCAAAGCGGTCCACCCAAGCCAGGACGTCCGCTCGCTCGGAACAGACCACTTCCTCTCGGGGATTGTACGGCAAAGACTCCTACCACGATGAAAATGGGTATACTCTGGTCACCTACAGCAGCAAAAAACGCTACCCCTTGATGGCCGCAACGCCACCCACACCGACTCAGCCACCCGCACCGCGGCTGTCGCGCTTCACGGTAATTCTCAGACCATGTCAACCGTGTAGAATCTTAGATGAGCCCTACATCAAGCTCGACGAGGCTCTTTCATCACTTTTACGCACCTCCCTGGCCCTCGTACAAGGCACCAGGACCCCCGATTTCACGACACGATTGTTAACACATAGTAATCAACTTGCACTCGATGTATACGATCCCGCGGTGAGGGATGTTTTCCTCAAAATCAAATCGCTTCCTATCTGTGGTAAGGAGGCTCCTTTTCAGGCCTGTGAAGCAACCGGAGAGGGCCAGATACGTGGCATAATACAAAACGCCGGTGGCCTTACCCAAGAACAACTCATGGCCAGCTTGCATTGCCGCAAATGCAGAATACTTAATGCTCGCCGACTGGGTGACAATGGAACTGCTTTGGTTACCTTCGAGAGCACACGCCTGCCCTACCGCATCGGCCTCCGCTCTTTTACGGTGAGGGTATTACCCTACAAACCCAAAGTAGCTGTCTGCACGACCTGCCATCGGATGGGCCACGTTAAGGAGCGCTGTCCCAACACCGACAACGCCCGCTGTTCTATTTGCGGACTGAAAAAACACGACGGAGACGCCTCTTGCCCGAACGCCACGCCTAAGTGTCGTAATTGCGGGGTCCCCACCTAGCCACAGACAAGGGCTGCCTCAAGAGAACCCAGCTGAACAAAAAGATAGCACGTCGCCGACGTCCCAAGGCCCCGCGACGCTTTGAAACTACCTTTGACAACCAAGGGCAGCATCTACACGCTGGCGAACGTACTAAAGCGTCAAGCAACAACACCGATACGACCGCACCTCTAGTGCCTGGAAGCGCGGGAGACTTACGACGCCTACGGCTCATCGCCACTCCGACCTCAACAAGTTTCTATATAGGGCCCCGCACCTCTGCTCAGGGAACTACTACAACAGCTGCAGAGCGTAAACTCACGTTTGCGGACGCCGTTCGGAAGGCCAACACCGACACTGCAACCCACACTATTAATACGACACAAAGGAGAGGCCCTAAACATGCTCAAAAATCGCAAAACCCGCGCATTCCGGAACCGGTGGCACAAGTCAGTGAGGAGACGCAGACAGAAACAGCTGTGCGCATCTCAGCATCTACAACACCCAGCACACAAATCACCCTCGAGGCACAGCTCGAGCGCCGCATTCCTCAACTTGAACAACGCGTAATGGAGCACGTGCAAAAGACCATAGACCGGGCCATTGAGACATGTGTCCGCACCCTTATGGGACGACTCATGCTCTCCAGTACGAGCCCATTCGGGGCGCCCATCACACAACCGGCTCCGGCCGCCTCTATGGTAACCTCATCAATCGCTATTAACGGCCAACATGGCCCAGCGCTCCAATGGCGCACTCGCCACCGGGCACCCACCCTGGGCTACATTCGTGCAATGGAATTGTCGAACACTTCGAAAAAAAAGGCCGACCTAGTAGCACAATTTCATTGTAACGGCACCACACAAGGACCATCCATACTCGCACTTCAAGAAGTAAATGGCCCAGTACTCAAACTCCCGGGTTACGAAGGGTACCCGTCTTATAGCGTTCCCGGGCAGACCACATCCGTGGCTCTATACGTATTAAAAACGCTCGACCACGTCCAACTGGATACCGAACCCTGGAATACTAGCGCCACCACTACGGTACGGTGTAGGGTCAAATTGACGACTGACCACACCGTTTTAATTTTTTCCTTGTACGCACGCCCGGAGTACAACCGCAACAAAGGGCACAAGCCTCTTATTGACCTCGGTTTTATACAGCATTTCCATAGGCTCTATCCTCGCGATCAGGTAATCCTATGTGGAGACTTCAACGCAAGGCACACAGCATGGGGTTACGACAAATGCAGTCCCAGGGGGCGCAAAGTAATGGCTGATACCCAAAACTACCACCTTATTTTGATCAACGCCCCCGATGACCCCACACGGATTGGACAATCTATTCGCCACGCGGACACGACCCCTGATCTGACTTGGGTATCACACCCGCGCAGCGTCACCTGGCACCTTCACGAAGACCTAATGGGAAGCGATCATTTCCCTATAGTGATCAAGATAAAAATCCGCCGCACTCTGGGATGCGCGGTAGGTGCACGCACAGCCGCGAGACCATCGTTTTTGACGCACTGGGACAAATACCGAAAGCTGCTGGAGGAGACATCTCCCAGCGGTGATATCGCACACCTAACTGGTCAAATATTAGACGCCAAGCAACAAGCCACCCGTCGAATACAAGTCCCCTATGATCATCCGGACCCAGACAAACGCCTTCTAACGCTCTGGAATCGCAGGTTGCGCCTATTGGCCAAGAACCGCAAATCTGGGCGCAGACGCTCTATCAAACACAAGTTGAGGATCACGCAACAGACAATAGAGGATTACACCACCGCCCTTGCATCTGAGAGATGGATGACCCTTTGTGAAGGCTTTAACGGGAATACGTCTACACCCCGAGTTTGGAGTATACTACGGTCCCTTCTTGGACAAACCAAGACCTATAATGGGGCCAGACGGGTGGCCCTTAAAGAAGCGATAACCCCACAGGAGCTAGCCAAACGCGCCGCTTCTGAATTCTTTCCCAGCACTTCTCAACCCATCGCTACCACCTATGAAAGGGACGACCCCGTGGAGGACTTTGAATCCTACAATCAACCATTCACCCTTTTTGAGCTTAATCACGCTCTTAACACTGACAACAACACACACAGTGCACCTGGGGCAGATCAAGTCACCACGACACAATTGAGAAACCTCCCAAATACCTACAAACAAGCTCTGTTGGAGGAAATCAACAGGATCTGGGAAGAAGGAAAGCTTCCACCCACATGGCGTTTCTCTCTGGTGAAACCAATTCCCAAACCGGGGAAACCGCCACATTACCTGGCCAACCTCCGACCTATATCACTGACATCCTGCCTATGTAAAACGATGGAGAGGATGGTCAATACGCGCCTGACATGGTACTTGGAAAATAATGGCATTCTCGCCCCAACGCAAATAGGGTTCAGAGCGGGGTTGTCCACACAAGACGCGCTTCTTCAACTTAAGGAGGCAGTCCTCGACCTGCACTCTACACAACCGAGAGCTATCGTTGGGGTTGACATTAAAAAGGCATTTGACGGGGTCCCGCACAACACAATCATGTCCCAAACCAGAACTGCCGGCCTAAAAAGACGACTATATAACTTCATTGCCGTGTTTTTGGAAGGTCGCTGTTTTCAAGTGCAGGTAGACCAAGCCACTAGTACCACGCGAGCCAAGAAAGTAGGGGTACCGCAGGGATCAGTTATCTCACCGACTCTCTTCAACTTGGCGATGCACACCCTCCCACACCGCCTGGATGCAGTGCCTGGACTAGGTCATACAATATATGCCGATGACATCACGCTTTGGGCAACAGACGGGTCCGTCGGCCAGCAGGAAGACATACTCCAAAATACCCTAAACATTATCTACAGTTTTGCAACCGAAATTGGCCTCAGCACATCCCCAGAGAAGACTGAATACTTAGTCATACACGGCGGCCGTAGTACTCCCTCCAAGAGAGCCGAGAAGAAGATGTACAACCTCTCTATCGGAGACCAACCCATCACCAAGAAATCTACCATTCGCATCCTGGGCATGTACCTGGACGAAAATTGCACAGCCAACACATGGTTCCTGAAAACGACTGGATCAGTAAAAAAGATCCTACACGTCCTTCGACGAATCTCAACACGCACCCGTGGTGTCTGCGAACGCGAGATGAGGCAATTCGTGCAGGCATTTGTCGTCTCACGGCTCCTGTATGGTCTTCCCTATCATCCAGTCAATCGGACTCAGATGCTAGCTCTAGAAAGACTTATCAACGAGGCCCGAAGACTCATTACTGGCCTTCCCAGGTACACACGCCTAGACGCGCTCAAGAGTTGCGGGGATCATTTAATGATCTCAGCAAACTCGTATCCGCGCACTACAACATCCAGGAGGCACGGCTTCGCACAACACCAGCCGGCCGGTCTATCCTTGCAAAACTAGGCTACGCCGTGCACGATCTGCCCGAACTCCCACAACAGACCCCGCCGTGGGAACACATTGTCTTCACCGACGGGACTCCTCTACCTCAGCGGATACAGAGCACCGGCAGGCGCCTCCCTCTCAAGAGACGGCACTTAAAGCACATTCGCTCGCTTGACGATTGCCCCCACGTGATCTACGTCGATGCATCCCTGCCAGCTGATCACAAATGCGCTGTCTACGCCACGGCGCGGTACAATTGTAACACAGAAGCACAGGCACGATACCTGCGCACAACGGCTACGCCCCCGCTCACCACCCAAGCGGAGCTTCAAGCCATCATGGACTATGCGCGCGACGCACTTCTTACGGCAAGGGAAGACGCACCAGTCACGCACATCATTTATACTGACTCGCAAGCGGCACACCACATATGCTCAGACACCAAATATACCGGATCTACCTTACACGAGCTCAAGGTGGCCGTCTCATCTCTGAGAGCGTCCGGCCATCAATTCATCATACGATGGGTCCCTGCCCACTGTGGCATACCTGGAAATGAGAAAGCCCACAGACTAGCGCGCGCACACCTCCTCTCCGCGCTGGCCAAGGGACCCTCCTCTTCCTCATCTCTAGGCAACCCCTCACAGGAAATTGCCAACCCTTGGCACGACTTGCGCTCTACCAAAGCCCAGCGAGCCACCTACCTCTCCATGGCCGCTAACCCGCTATCCACCCCTAAGATTCCCTCCCAACATTTTTCTCGTAGGGAAGCCGTCATGATTCGGCAAATTCAGACAGGGACCCTACTGACACCGCATCTCTTACAGCGGTTTCGCGGGAACGACGGGGAGGGACCTTCCACAGCCTCTGGCATCTGCGAGAACTGCAATTCTAAGGCACACCTGGTCCATCTCATGTGGTCTTGCCCTTTGTATAACATTCCACGACAACAGGCTTTGGACCTCATCACAAACGCCCCAGTACCCGCATCCCTGAACGCCTGCGCATGTCCAGACACCACCATATCCCCCAAGCATGCTTTGGAGCTCTGGGAGGCACTACTCACCTTCATAAAAGACCCAACTGCGCCTCCAGTGGGGGACCGGCTCCTTCCGGCTACAGCCAAGAGGATACGGCCTCCCCCTCCCTCGTTGACGAAGGCCTTGAAGCCATGAAGTGTTGCCCTCCTCCTCCTCTCCTCTTCTTTGGCCTTCGCTTCCTAATCCCTTATCCTCCTTCTAACTGACCTCTGGAGCGCGCTCCGCGCAATATAAGGTCAATAAACGTGTTTTCAATCAATCTTCGACAAAATGGCAAGACACGCAGTGATTGACACAGCAAAACATGTCACATTGAAAAATCAGGTAGACGTAGTCAACGCGGACACGGCTAGAGGAATGTCACTTACGATCATGTAAGCGATGTTATCGCGTGCAGTCACTGAATTCTTGCATCATACCCCGGCCACATGGCGAAAGTAATGTAATTTCGATCGAATGAAAATATGGGGCCGACAAATCAGCGTGCGAAGCTAATATAATCACTCAAAACAGCGAGCTGATTAAATCCCGTATTATTCAATCAAGATATATAAACTTTTCCTTGCGGCAGGGGTACTAAACTTACTATTTCCAGTCAACTAATTTACTTCTCCCTATGGGCTCCAGCTGCCTAAAAACAAAATATATCCTATTCTGTAGATTCTAGTATAAACGCGGTAAAGGCAACAAAATAACATTAGTATAAATAAACACATATGCACAAACAACGCACTTTCAATAATCACACACACTCGTTTTTTACCTTCCAGTAAACACTAGAATATTACAACGCATAATTATAAATTTCGGCGCAATAGCAAACGGATAATGACGAAGAACAAAACTCCATTCTATCACGATATTAAAAAAAAAATAAAAAAAATCGACTGCAGCACTTTACTTGCAGCTTACGTGACCAAGAAAGCCCGTAAATAAGTTGTTTCTCACCTGTCAATCGTATCCATACGTCCCACACGATCCATGAGAAAAAAATTTTAACACGAACTTCACGAAGTCTCTCTCTATCGAGAGGGGTCATCGGCCAGTGTCATCGTTGACTAGTTGCCACACACGTCAGTCAAACCGTAGCAGGACTTGTTTCGCGAATCCACGTAAATGCCGTAGTATGAAGCGAACACACACAAAAAAATCTACCCGAGACTCCGGTGACGGCAAAAAAAGAACGATGGGTAGGACAAAATCACACACACACACACACACGCGAGAGCAGCACCAGCAGTGTGGGACGAGAGGCTTAACATTGTCGACCCATCTCTTCCTCGTGTGCGCTCCCTTCCAGCGGTAATGAATGGATTTTTTTTTCGGTTCCTTTCCCTTCTGAAATGTCTCAGCGTACCTTTGCATGAAGTCAGCAGCTCGCACGCAACGTAAATTTACCAGAACCAAAGCCCGTACGAGGGAAGATGTCGCATCGGAAATTCGCAGCCGGTTCATTCAAAAAGTGTGGGGAGCTGCGGGACTGCGCTTAGTCCAGCGGTTGCGGGGATAATCAAAATATAAATTTGGTACTTTCAACCTTGGTAACGCGTTGTATATTACGTTTATATTATATATAGTAAATTGTACAAGACTGCGCTTTTAAAACGTGTATTAATATCGGATGAACGCGCACGAACATTAATGCGCCAATACGCGTCGACAGCGGCATTTTCTCACGTAGTTGCGCCATGGCCTTCCTTCCTCCGCCATTGCGACGTGCCCGCTCGGAGCGCTATGGCCTTCTCTTGTAGGAGGTGCTGGAGTAACGCGCAGCTGTTGAAGAGAGGGAAGGAGGAGTGTTGCGCATGCGTAGTGTGAGTGCGGACTACGACGCCGCGGGACATAGACCCGAGCAAGAGATGCTCCGCATCTAAATTATAACTTGCGAAAGAACGTAAATGATCCATTAGAACTTTAAAAAATTAGTGAAGAAGTCTGCATCAGATCTATCAGAAAGGTCATGAAACGATATCGGGTTGGAAAATTCTTGACTTTGCAGAGGCGTACGGTCCTAGTCTGGACCTAGTACAGTCGCACAGACCTCCACTGATTCAGAAGCTTCCTTGTCGCTTTGATATTGGGAGGATAAAAGGGGGCTATTTCTTTTAGTCTTGCGTTTGCACAGCTTAATGACGTAATTGTGCGATCAAAAACATTCGCCTGAAAACAATCGAGCCAAGCGTATGAACTGGACCCTTGGTCGCTAAACTCGTTGAGCACAAATTTGTGCCCGAAGTTTGCGGAACGCGCTAATTGAATTCTCGCGACGCTGACGTCGCGACGAGCGAGGTGTCAATCATTAGAACGCTCATTTCTTTGAGAGCGGCAGAATGTAGCAAAGTTCGTCGAGGCGCACGTGCACCGCGTGAGGGGCGCGAGGAGCCCGCTGATTGAACGGCTTCGCCGATGACGTAGCGCCCGTTTGTCCCTACATCCCTACGCCAAGCTAAAATTAATGCTTTGCCGATTGTCCTTAGGCTACCGGTTTACGCTCCAAATCACTCCAAAGTTTGTGTAAACAAAAAGTGATTCGAAACCTTGTTTGTCGAAGTTGTCGCTAAGGTCAAAGGGGCGTTTCAGAACTTTGCGAGAGTCGTGGTTTCAGCACGAAACCTTCGCTTCGGATCGAGGCGAAGTTCAACTTTGTCAACATTCCGGTGCCGTACGCTGCGGCCGAGCTTATTTTCCGACACCGAGACCACCGGGATGCCTTTTCTTCCTCCACCAAGATCGCCGTACGCTGCGGCCGAGCTTATCTTCCGCTACCGAGACCACCCCCGGCGACGACTTTCGGCGACTTTCAACTCCCCGGCGACGACTTACGGCGACAGTATCGGCTATTGAAAGCCGTTGTGCGTTTACTCTGCATGCGAAGAGCTTCGCTCGGCGTCCGGACTTCGACGCGGCGGACAATCGCGTCTACCATGACCGTGGAACAACAAGTTCTCTGCGCGCTCCGGTCCTTCGGAACCGGTAGCTTGCAAGGCATGGTGGCGACTGACAAGCACCTGTTAGTCTCCCACATGACTGTGAGCCGGGCTGTCAGAGTTTTTGCGGCTGCCATCGTTTTTTTTCTGTAATTTCCGAAGAGGTACTACTAAGCTGGTTTACAATTCAAAATGTTGGAAGAAGCAAGAACCGGGGTAATTCTTGGATAGGATCGAGCCTCCCGGCAGCCGGCAGAATTATTTCCCCGAAATCCTACCGGCAGTCGTCACTCATTGGCGGTCAAATTAGTTTATCGAACGACGTGTCATCGACAGATCGTTTCATCGGCACGCGATGTAATCATAGATTTTCTTCAGTTAGAGGTACATACACATTAAACATTTTCACAGCTTTATACATGTAAGTAAGGTGTTCCATAACTAACACCTAATAAGTGAAACAGTAGACCTTATAAAAAATGTAAACCTCACACCCTTAAAAAGTGACTTTTTAAACACGTTTCTTAAAACGCGTGATAATGCACCACACCTTTTTATGAGGATGTAAGACTACAATATTCCTTCTCGTAAAGGTGTGAATACCACAGTACACTTTTTCTAAGTGTACACAGTGACCCGGGACCCAATAAAATGACCAAACAAATAAATTACACAAACGAGTCGCCGAAATAACACGTCACTACATTACCAGTGTCAAGGCAAATTGGGCCGAAAACCGGCTCCAATATTGGCCAGATGTACGGTTTTGCGCCTCGTCCCGATATCAGGCAGGCATGGGCGTACCGATATAAATAAACAATTTATGTCGAACGGCACTGGCACCACTGATCTCTTAGTAGGCTGAATCGCGGATAGAGGCCTGTATTGCTGGGGTCGAGCGACATCACCGGCAGTCATCGCTTGACACAAGCTAATGCATGCAATAGGAAAAACGGGAAAACTCAATTTCATTATGTTAGTAGGTTGTTCTCGACCATGAAACTTCTATCGTGTTTCCGCAAAAAACGGTTCATATTGTGTGCAAGAATATTAAACACGTTAGAATACCAATCTTGTTTTAAAATAAATGTTGTTTGGTTGAGGGTCGAGGGCGACATTGTTGGACGTTAACTGTGATGTGTTTAATGAGGCAAGGGTTACCGAGAGTTATTATGGAGTCATTCGTTATCTCGGAGTCATCTGAGCTCAGCAAACGATAAGTTAGAAGAACTCTACTAGGGACATTCGCATCGTTCTAACCGCTTGTACATAGTACTTCCGTTCGAAGTTTTTTTCTTTGAACTGCTGTGGAGTGCTTCCGTGACAAAGTGAAACTCGGAGCGTGCCGCTCAGTTCCTGAACATGTCATTTACAAAGCGAGCGACGTCGGTAAAGTCGGTGGTGCTCCGGCCCATTTTTTTTTAAATCGATGTTCGTACACTTGACGAATGTCTATTTGATCTCCAAGCACCCGATATAATGATCGCAGCACGTCATAAAATACTCAAAAGTCAAAAGTCTTTATTTTCTCTCCGTTTGGAGAGGGGAGGCAGAAAAAAAAGCAACTCAGTGATGCTTGACGAGCCTCTGCCCCCCTCCCTACAGCAGCAGAGAAAAAAATATATATACACGTACACAAACTCATACAAATTCGCAATCTCTACACCAATAAAAAGAAAATAAGTGAGCTCAATCGTACAGTCGATTCATGCTTTAACTATTCCTGAACGTTTTATAAGAAAATCATTAACAAATACAGAAAGCACGTCCTTCCGAGTTCCGCTTAAAATATTTATATCGAATTCACTGCAACAATTTAAAAGGCGCGGTAGTGTATATCTCAGCATTTGATCGCCGCAATTGGTCCTGGAGTGAAGTACTGCCCACGAATCTTCAGAACGAGTGTTGTAGAGCGTTTCCCTGAACTGAAGATTTGAGATCGATAAAAGTAAACGGTTGGTACAAAACGACTTTTTATAGGCAAGAGCTAATTTGTAACTATAGTGACTGGTAATTTGCACAATATTAAATTTTTTAAACTACGGTTTCGTATGACTGTCATAGCTAGTATGACATATCATACGAATCACTCTCTTCTGAAGAATATGCATTTGATTTATATTAGTTAAGGTCGTATTTCCCCATACCAAAAAGCAATAGTTTTATTGAGCGTAGAAAATAGAGTTGTAAACGAGTATCATGGCCGAA